GTATTCTAATTTTTAATTTTGTTTTATGCTTAATTAAAAATCCTACCGTTGTGAGATGAAACTTCAAATCCAATTGCTTCCATTACTCTTAATCATCATGAACGCTAAGAAAACCCTTTAGTCCATTACTTCATTATCGCCTCTAAAAATCTAATCCAACTTATTTTGAACAATATATTTGTTGTGGTTGTATTTTATTCAAACTTTGAACAATTTGTTTTTATTTGTGGTTGTGTTTTATTTAAAAAAAAAGGTCTAGTCCTTTTTTTATTTAAAATTATATGGGTCAACCCATGTTCAACCCATTATTTAAAAGATTGAGTTAAGAAAATCGTAAACAGGTCAACCTGCTATCAAACCATTTAGATAACAGGTTAGGGTAGGTTGAAAAATCTCAACCCATTTAATTAAATGGGTTGGGTTGGATTTAGATTTTCAACATGTTTAATAAATGAGTTGAACCCGAATCCAACCCAACATGACCCATTGTCACCCCTAGATTTAGATAACCTCCATCTGGCGAATTGCTTCATCCATATCCTTTTATCAATTTCAACAGGTTTAGATAACCTCCATCAGACAATGATTATACATATCGTTTTTCATTTCTATCACATCCTCTACTAATATATTCGAAGCATGTTCTTAGGATACAGACAGATTTCAAGCTTCCAATGTTAGTTTCCTTCAATCTTTTGTTTTTGTTTTCAATTTCAGTTATTTACACTATATGTGTTTTCTACGTTCTTTTTTTAATTAAAACAGAGCCAACATCTTTGACAACATTGGTTGAAGCTTCTCTTCATAAACTTTTCGTTATTGACTGAACCAAGTGATTATTAGATGATAAATTCTAAGAAATTTAATATTATAATCATATTTGATTTTATGTCTACAGGTCAATTCTTGGATTGACTTTTTGCAGTTTAAATCCCTTCTTGCATTTGAATATTACTAGGAAAAACATGTCTTTCCTTGGTTTAATGCTTTATTTCTTGAGGATATATCTTACCAGCTACACTGGTTTATTATCAAATGTCTTTGCATTCAGTTTTCTCAAGTAGTTCATTTCTGTAACATTGATTTTTCATTTCTCGGTTTCTGTATTCCCTTTTGAAACTGTTGATATAAACCAACTAAAAATGATTTAAATTAGAAACTTGATACACCAGAGGACTACTGGGTAAGTTTGTTTGATCCTATGTTGTTTATCAGACTGCTTGGACGTGGATTTACCATTCCAACTCTAAGCAGGATCTTCTCTAGTCCCACAGATTGTTTAGCTTTGATTCACCGTTCTAAGATACATATCAGTTGTAGAAATCTTGCTTCAATGTATAAGGTTTAGTGCTTCGTTGCTAAAGCATCCAGCCTCTTTCCTGTATATTCTCCAAAATATTGCATCAACGTAGGATTGAAAGTAGTTTTACTCGAGCTTGGCTCCAAAGGTCAAAAGTACCAGGAGGTCACATGTTCAAATCTATGGAGGAATAAAAATCCCCTTGTAGTCGCGGAGGTTCAGATACGGTGACTCCGGGCTATCTGCGAAGCAAAGCAGGTGGTCGCCCTGGGTTTAGTCGGCTCACATAGTGAGTTGGATATCCAGGTTAATAAAAAAAATAGCTTTACTCTTTGATGTTCTTTGTTTCCGTTCAAACCCTATGCATCAACATCAGTTCTAAGAATTTCAGTTCATATCCTATAGATATGGTACTTAAACCTCCGACTACTTTTCCCAATTGTGCAAATATGAATCGGAACCTTCTACTACTTGATTTGGTTTGATTGATAATGGCATAGCTAAAGTTCAATACTCAACCAATTACTCCACCATTTCAACCAGTTATTCATATATTTTCTTAAGTTATTAGAAAACAATGTGTATAAATATCAACTAAAAACAAAAATCTAAAATATTAATAAGTATATATAGTTAAGATGAAGATGTATCTTGTTGTATTGTGCGAGTATCATTCTAGTATATTTTAAATATCGTTGTTAAAGAAATAATGATATCAATAGTAAATCACATCTTTTTTTTTCATATGGTTATATATTTTTAATGGTTCTTTTTCTATTTTAAATTTAATGGATCATATTACCGTGATTGCATTTTTACAACAAGTTAAGTCCTGAATACAACCGCAAGGACCCAAGTCATTGATTTATTCAAAAAACCGAACTTTTTAAAAAAACTACAACCACAAGGACGAAACTCATTAAAAAAAAAACAATCTCAGAAATGTAACTCGTTAAAGATGCAACCACATGGACACGTTCCGTTGAATTTTTCAAAACAAGGACAGGACCCATTAAAAACGCCTAACCGCATGGACGAAAGACAAACATAATTTAGGGGTCATTTACCTAAACACTTACCCGGTAAGCACTTACCCGTAAAATTCAATACTATCGCTTATTTACCGGGTAAGATTTTATTCACTAAAACGCATCGTATGCAACAATTTATCCCGGTAAACGCTAACCATGGTTAGAGTCATCATCCTCACTTACCGGGTAAGACTCTCAATTCTTGCCTTCGCTCTAACCGGGTAAGATTTTTAGTCCTTGCCATATTCATCCGGTAAAGTAAAGTGACTTGATAAGCGTTTATCTAAGTAAGCGTTTGGTAAACGACACCTTACTTCATTAGTTTAGGGGAAAGAATGAAAATGAGTAAGAAAATGATAGTGAACGAAAACAGGGACGGACCCAGAATTTTTTTTAAACGGTGGCACCATTTGATCATAAGAAAAAAAATATAGGAAATTTTTTTTCAAACGGTGGCACCGTTTGACTAAGAAAAAATGACACTAACATGATTCGGACTTGGGTGTGGGGTAGAATAAAAGCCTTGCAAACCAACTCTACCAAATAAAACTTGTTCTCATTGTAATTTCAAAATACATACGGTGGCACACAACAAATTAATACGGTTGCACCGTTCACGAATCCTAAATTTTTTACATTTCGGCGGAGAAATGATACGGTGGCACGTGCCACCCATGGCACCTATGTAGGTTCGCCTATGAACGAAAATGAGATGGATTTTCATTCCCCTCAGTATAACCTGGAATAAAAATTTAGGTTCTGGTAAAATGGTCTTATTATATTATAAAAAAACCAAACAATTTTTTTTATTTTCATTTTCATTAATTATTACTCGATACCTCTTATCAAACACCTTAAACATTTGATTTCTTTTGTGAGGGTAATTTAAATTTATTAATTGAATTTAATATTACTCTTAAAAATTGATTTTTCACATATAAAATTACTTTTTCTTATAAAAAAATTGTAAAATTAAAATATTTCATACATTCGATTTATAAAAACGACATATCCAAGCAAATACATATCTCACGTTGTGTTAACAATTTTCTGAATTTAAATAAATTCATGGTTTATGGTTTATCTTTAAAATTAAATATAAAATCATTTGGGAAAAAGAATACGATATTTATTTTACAAGGGTATTATAGTAATAAACCAAGTAAACGGATGACCTTGACTTTATAAAGTCTATGGTTTTACATCAACAAATTGTGTTTTTTCAACATAAAAATTATATGAAATCGCGGGCCCATCATCATCACTTAAAAGTGTGAACATTTTCTTATTACTAATAACCAATTGATACGTAATTATATTATGTATATTTTTAAAAATTATTAATTGTTTGAATTCATGTAATTAACTGTAGATAAACATAATAAATAGTAGATAAATATTACGAGATGAAACACTTATTTTTAATTTTTTTTTGAAGTATTTAAAATTTTAAAACTTTTCATATAACTAACTGATAAACACAAGAAAACCAGACGTAAAACACCTCATTTTTATTTTTTTTATTAAAATATAGTATCATTTTAATTTTAAAATGTAAAATATCTTAAATATAGATGAATTATGATTAGAGGTTTAAGTGTTCGATTTTTGAATCGAGAAACATTGTGTTGCATTGTATAAATATATTTATATATACATATAGGGTTAGATTAACGTGAAACCAACATGTTAACATTAGATCCGTGAGACCATTTTTCTAAACTTGAAACTTCATACCAAAACGTTGTGAAAGTAAAAAGAAAATAGCATTCACAGCAAAAACACTATGAAGTTTACTTTCACAACTTTTTTTTATAAAGTTTCAAGTGGAAAAAAGTGGTCTCACGGATCTTAAAAAACGGATTGATCTCACGTGATCCAAAATGCATATATATAACAAACACTATGAAGTTTACTTTCATAACTTTTTATTATAAAGTTTCAAGTGAAAAAAATGGTCTCACAAATTAAAAAAAAAGGGACTAATCTCACGTGATCCAAAATACGTATATATAACAAACATAGAAGCATACACATAACTAAATACAATAAAAAAAAGATGGACTTTTCCCTTTAAAGTCACCCCATTAGAATCAACAAATAAAAAGCATAAAATGGTCGCATGGGATATGCAATCTATACAAGGGATTTCTTAAAATAATGCAAATATTAATTTATTTATTAAACCAAACATTTGCTTAAAGTAATCCAAACCGCTATGTGAGCCGATTAATCCTATGACAACCATCTACTTTGCAGATTGTCCGGAGTCACCGCATTTGAACCTCCATGGCCATAAGGAGATTTTTATTTCTCTTTGGATTTGAACCTGTGGCATCCTGATACTTTTGACTTTTGAAGTCAAGCTCAAACCAATCAAAAACCACCCTTTTAGTTTACATTTGCTTTTGTAAACAAAGGTCTAAACAACCCTCGTTTAATGAGAAGAATCATAATAAATGAAGGGGTAATTTAGGAAATTACTTGCAACCAAAATACCAAGTCAATAGAAAAAAGAAGGCCCCTCATCCAACCTTTTCCACACGGCTAGTGACCATACTTGGAAATTTCCACGAGTCCAAATAATACTCCTCTTATTATAATACACAAAGGATGCAGTTTTCAATTCATTATCACCTTCTCTCTTCTCGGCTCAATCATCGCCGGCAATGGCCGCCGCCGTTTGCCACCTCTCCTTCCTTTCCTTTTTCACTCTGCTCCTGTTGGTTAATGCTAGATTAGATCTCCACCCTACTGACCATGAAGCTCTCTTCCAAATCTACAAAGATTTGGGTCTCTCAAGTGGCACACACGACATTTGCAACGCCGCCGGAATCTTTTGTGAGAGGAGGAGCTCCGACAACTCTTACGTCCTCAGGGTCACTCGTATTGTGTTCAAGACTCGCCGGCTCAGAGGTTCTATCTCTCCGGCAATCGGGAAGTTGTCGGAGCTCAAGGAGCTCTCTCTACCAAACAACCACCTTGTGGACCAAATCCCAACTCAAATCACCGGTTGCCGGAAACTGGAAGTTCTCAACCTTCACAGTAATAGGTTTTCAGGCAAAGTTCCTGTCGGATTAAGTTCTCTCGTCCGACTCCGGATTCTAGATCTGTCTTCCAATAAATTCTCCGGTGATCTGGATTTCTTGAATTATTTCCCGAACCTTGAAAGCCTCTCCCTTGCCAATAACATGTTCACCGGAAAAGTACCAGCCTCATTACGGTCTTTCAGAAATCTCCGATTCTTCAACATCTCAGGCAATAGTTTCTTGGAGGGTCCAATGCCGAAAATGAACCAATTGGAATCTTCGTCGACGGAGCTACGAAACGGGAACGAGAAACTTGTTCCAAAACGTTACATCTTTGCCGAGTCTAATTCAAATTCTTCATCGGCGGTGAGAAATCAAACCAGACAAGGAGGTTCTGTCTCTGATAATATCCAAGCTCCGGCACCATCTCCGGCAGGAGGGCGAGCTCCTGATAAACCCAAGAAGAAGAAAAGAGTCATACGTTGGATCCTTGGGTTTTTAGCCGGAATAGTAGCCGGAATTATATGTGGGATCGTTTTCTCAATACTTTTCAAGTTAATTATGAATGTGGTCAAAGGCAAAAAGAATGATTCCGGCCCAGCGATCTTCAGTCAAATGATCAAAGCCGAAGAACTAGCTTTCTTGGAGAAAGAAGATGGAGTGGCATCGCTGCAAATCATCGGAAAAGGTGGATGTGGAGAAGTATACAAAACCGAATTGCCGGAAGGCAAAATCAAAACAATCGCCATAAAGAAGATCGTACAGCCTCCAAAAGAAGCCACAGAGCTAGCCGAAGAAGATACAAAGCTTCTCAACAAGAAAATGCGTCAGATCAAATCTGAAATCCAAACCGTCGGCCAAATCCGACACCGGAATTTACTTCCGTTACTTGCCCACGTTTCCCGACCAACCTGTCATTACCTAGTGTACGAGTTCATGAAAAATGGCAGCTTACAGGATATCCTACAAGAAGTTAAAGAGGGTCGGAGAGAATTGGATTGGCTGGCACGGCACCGAGTTGCACTCGGAGTCGCCGCCGGGCTTGAATATCTCCACCTGAGTCACACTCCACGTATCGTTCACAGAGATTTAAAGCCAGCCAACGTCCTCCTGGATGACGATATGGAAGCACGAATCGCCGATTTTGGGCTAGCGAAATCAATCCCAGATGCCGATACCCACATGACGAGTTCCAATGTCGCGGGAACTCTGGGATACATCGCGCCGGAGTATCACCAGACGATGAAGTTCACCGACAAGTGTGACATCTACAGTTTCGGGATACTGCTAGCAGTGCTGGTAATGGGGAAGCTTCCATCGGACGAGTTTTTCCAGCGGACGTCGGAGATGAGTTTGGTGAAATGGATGAGAAATGTGATGACTTCTGATGATCCAAAACAAGCAATTGATCCAAATCTGATTGGAAATGGGTATGAAGAACAGATGCTGCTTGTTCTTAAGATTGCTTGCTTCTGTACCTTGGATAATCCAAAAGAGAGGCCTAACAGTAAAGATGCAAGAACCATGTTGGATCAGATCAAACATTAAATATGTAATTGTGGAATAAGAAAGATTCATGATATATCTGTAATAGAATCTGAAAGTGTTAGATATATTCAAAAATTGTTTATTACCGGTTTGACATCGATATAAGTTGTTTATCCAAACACTCAAAAATGTTTGTTATCGGTGTCATACCGAAATAAATCAAGGAATATGTAACAGGATTTTTTTATTTATTGGAGAAATAATATAAATTAAAAGAAAAATTAATTATTTTAATTTCATTGATGAAATAAATATGTAGCTGCGATTTTAAGAGCGATGAAACAAAAGTGGCGTATTCAAAGTCCAAGTCATAGACCACTAACCATAGGAGGCAAGTTGTGAGGACAAGCCAAACCCACCAAAAGGAGATGAAAATACACCATGTGACGTATTCATGATCATCCCTTGATGACAAGAAAGCCAGGGGACCAGTTTACTGAGTAAGCGATTACGGTAATAGTCGTCACCTTTACTTAAACCATCAGATTAGATTTTCGGTTATCAAAATAGATTGTTGGGTAAGTGTCTTTTACCCCATATGGACTTATAGGATAAGAGTCTTCTCTTTCACAGTTTCACTTATTGGGTAAGATTGTCGGTCTTTGCTATACCTCTTACTGAGTAAGATTATTAGTCATTACTGAACCCACCTGCTAAGATAAGTGACACCCGTAATTGTTTGATAAACAAACTCTAAGTTCTTATTTGTTGGGTGTATTCAAACAGTCTTGAGACTTTTCGAGATCCATTCATATGTCTTATTGGTCGATATGGTTATGGAGAGGGACCATGTTTTGATATAATTTACAAATGAAACAAAATAGTCCAACACCTTTATAATATATTAGGGCCGTTCTGTATCTAGTCCGATCCAAATGCTCAACTTTATTTAAATGTATGAAGTGGCATCACTGGCATCATCAAGTTGCAAAAATAAAATGAAATGTTATATAATTATGATTTTTGTGATGACAAATTTATTTTATCAACAATAATGTGAATAGATAAGAATCTTGAAGTTTATAAATTTATGGAATCTAAACATATGCAGATTCTAAACCGCCAATGACGGGAGGAATACAACCAAGGGCAGATCCCGTACACCCATCAACTGATTTTCGGAGTATGAAAAATGCATACGTTAAACTCTGAGTGATGCTCTGGGAATATCAAAAAATACATGAGACATCAACCAGAAAACCAGTGGCGGATGCACATATATGGGGTTGGGGTCCCCAACAAAATAAAATCTAGAAAGCCCAATTTTTTTTATTTTACTTATAGATTTTATGACTATATGATCAGACCCCCAATAAAATAAACATGAAGGCCTCACTCCCCAACCCAACCCATAATTCATTTCACCTTCACCTTCATCTTCATCGCTCAATCATTCCACCGTGACCATGACTGTCGAAGGCTCAAGAAAGAACACCGTTGCACGCCTGCACCTTCATTCATCGCGGCGCTTCCAGCTTCCAGCTCCGCCTGTTATGGCGTCCCTCACGCGTCTCGGCGTCTGCACTGCGAGTCTGCAACTACTCCAAATTGGGTAAAAACATAATCATGCCCTCTACAATAATTTTTTCTGCATCCGCCACTGCAGAAAACAAAACAAAAAATCTCTCGAAATCGACCTATAAACTTCTAAAATTCCTCAAAATGAACCAAAAATTAGAAGAAGAAAAAACCCTCTAAATAGTTGAATTCGACTAAAAATATATCGACGACTTTATAAATCTTTGATCCATCTTAAAAATGTACCGTTGGATAAAAATCCTAATCCGTTGCATCATGCAATGGACAATGATTGCAACACGACTCATTAATGAAATGATGTTTTTATTACTTTGTCAAAAGGGCTAAATTGATAAAAGAAAATTTGTCCCACAATTCTATCTCAAACTTTTCAAAGGGGTGTGCGATGTTTTTATTATCTAAATTTACAAATTGTTTTAAATATATTAATACATTTTATTATACTAATTTAATTACTTGATTATTATTCAATCTTGTTTATTAGTTATATAAAAAAAAAAGATATTAAGCTGTAACATCTCGCTTGAGCAAACCCCAATTTACGAATCTTATAAAATATCCAATAAAATATAATTTACTGATTATTAGGACCAAAAATTGATCCTAATTATTCTAAAAGTTTTGCCAAAACCATCAGGGCAAGGATGAAAAATCTGAAAATGTTGCTGAAACAACTAAGTCTGGAAGAAGTCCAGAGGCGATGAAAATGGACCAGATGCGAGACTATGAAGGACCAGAGACGATGAATTGGTCTAGAGGCCATGAAGGACTAGAGGCAATGGTTCAGAGACCATTCAATGGTCCAGAGACTAACACCTTAAAACACACAAATCTGGACATAACATTAATTAACCTCAAATATGGAATATTAATTTCTAGAAAAACATCGAAATATCCGTTCTCTTTTAGTGATAAAACCACCCAAAACACAATTCTAAATTGGATATAACGGATTTTTACTTACAATCCAAATTATGTAGCCAAAAGAATACGGGACAAGACTATATATATATATATATATATATATATATATATA